CATGCCCTGACTGCTTAACTTAATGTTTAAAGATTAGGGTGTGGTTTTTTTTCCTGTTTTAGAAATGGCCTTACACATATTGCTATAGAGACAGGAACCTGTACTGCTTACAGCATTTTGACAGCAGGAGGGGTTGGCTACAAACCTAGTTTCTCACTAATTTATGCTTTACAATTTATGATTATTCCTTGTTTGTTGAGCAGTCAGCCCAATTTAAAAGAATTAAATGTATTTGATAGCAACTCCACTCCATTTATGAGTCTGTGTGCATCTTAATGTCTATGGTGCAATTGCTTCCAAAAGATGCTGTAACTTAGATTTGGTGTCTGAGGGCTTTTTTCCCCTCCAGTTATTAAAAAAAAAAAATAAATAAAAAAAAAAATTCTTAGCGACAACATAGCAGATAGTAAGTCAAAGTACATGTGTAATTCTTAGAACTGTGTTCAGCTATTTTAAAGCTTCTATCTTAATATATTTAAAAATTAATTTGAAAGTGTTTCTTTGTAAGATAGATCTTTGAGGTTTCTAGAAAACTGGTAGTTTCAATAAAAATATTGCCAGGTGCATATTGCCAATTTTTTTCTGTATGTCAATATTTGGGCAATGTTACTGTGTTGCTGTGAGGGGACTGCAAACAGAATTGCACTGGTTTCCTTTGGATTCCTCTTTAGGCAGAGATTTGCTTTTCTTTCGTATGAATTTTGGTATGAGTATTTTCATTATATGTGTTCAAAGGAATTGTATTAACTAAATGACTTGTATATAGGGCAGTACTGTCAACACCATTTTTAATTATTCTCTTACAGTAATTGGAACAGCTGTAGTTTAATAGATTGAAGAGCCAGAGGTAAGGGCATGAAGGTATGAAGAGCATCCATGAGAAGGGGAAAGAACTGAATAAGGAAGCCAATTAAATGATCACACTGTCATTTTTTTAGGGATCCTGAAAAGATATGTTATGCATCCGTATTTGCTCCTATTTAGTTTCTAGATTTATGCCTTTACAGCCATATTTAAAATGCTGAAATTATTTGATATTGAAATGATTATTGCATTTGAGCTCCATGGCTTTGAATATTTTTCTGGATTTTAGGGTTTCTCTTTTTTCTTCTCTATCAAAATGGTCTTGTGTAGTAGTATGCATCAGCTCAGCGGGATGGTAATTCTAAGATAAGCAGAAGATCAGAAGTAGTTCTTCCAGTGTGAAACTGAGTTTTTTGCCTTCAGCTTGGAGTGAGCTTTGCTAGAGCTAATATCATAAAATGGGTTTAATATAGCAACATATATCTGTTTTAAAATGGAAACGTGGCTTTGTATCCATTTTAAAGCATAGGTGTTGGGGAAAAGAATCTCAAAAGTCTGAAGATGTTCACTGGTCTTACCACCACCATTTTAACCTCTTTCTCTGTGTTGCTGAGTCAGGTATCTTATATGAACAAACACTTTATCAATAGGAGATAATCTAATGTTAGCAAAGGTATCTGTGACATGGATATTTAGACCTTTCTGTTTACATTTCTAGATGAAAATGGGAGATGTAAATCACACTATCACTGGAACTTTGAACATTTTTCTTTCTGTAAAGCTAAAAAAAAAGCCTGGGGTTCTGGAAGTGGAGAAGACTTTGCAGGTCACACTAGAAAGGGTTTGCAAGACTTGAGAAAGTTTCCATATAGCTTAACCCTATTTCCACCTAGTGCTTTTGGTTCCTTTGATACTTAGTAGAGGAATGAAAGAGAGAGGTAAGCAGCTTGTTGGAGTGTGACAGCAAATCTTTTAACCACAGCAAATCACTTGAATGACCAAATATTTTTTGGTTTTGATTTAACAGTTTAAGGACTGCAAAAGAAGTTAAACTCATTCTGTGCAAACTGATGGAAATCCAGCGGCGTGTCAAGGAGTTAACGTTTACTCTGCTTAGTTTTTCTGCAAAAATTCAGGTGGCATTCCAAGGCTAAGAATAAATATTTTCAGACTAGTATAGTTTTACATTGCCACTGGGTTCTGATACATCTTTCTGCCTGTGATTCCTGCTTTGAACAGCTGTGATGCGAAGTCTTACGGGAAATGCAGAGATGGTTTCAAAACTTTGGTGGAAGTATACATGCCATCATATATATATGCTGACTAGAAATGTAAGCATACTGGGCTGTGTACCATTGGCCTTCAATACCAGTTAATTTGGGGATGAGTGGCAAAGCAATGTATTATGAGAACAGAAAATGTAGTGTATTCAGTGGGTGCAGTGCACTCCAGGAGATCCAACTATTTATCCCATATTTTTAAATGTATAACTAAACTGTTATTTTGAAGTCTTAATTAAAATAACAGAACAATATACTGGGTTTTCTGTTGTCTTAGGAATAGTTTATATAAAGTGTAGAATGCATTTAGATAGTCTTTTCCCTGGTAAAACACAATCAATTTGTGATGTCAGGAAGAAAATGGTATTTGATGTATTTTCTTTTTCCTTACGTGCAGATAGGTGATTCATTTCTCACGTGGCGTTTCTTTTGCAAGTGAAAAGTGTTTGCCTATTTTTAGAGTACCTGGCTCTGCTACTTCCCTCAGTTCTGCATTTTGTACATTGGCCGTTTGATCAAGTTGCATGTGCCGGACAGTAGGACGAGATTAAGTTGGGCAGTGCTTGGGACTCATGCTTTAAAAAAACATTTACTGTTACTGTTCATTCTGTAATGGTTTTAATTAGGTTGCTTGTAAATTAAATGGAAAAATAAATGGTCACAGAAGCACCCAAAGGAGAAGTAGGTATTTGAGGACTAGGGTGAATGATCTTGTTGGGGTCAGAAGTGAAAAGTAACTGATGTCTGGGTGTGTGTTGATTGTTTTAAATACCAGTCAGTGCTTGGAATGACTGTGTGGCTTGAGGTGGCTTGTATTTTACTGGTCAGAAGGGTATTCAAGAATTACTTTTTGAAAAGTGACCCACTGATTGTCCTTAGCCTTTTATTTTTTATGTTAGTAATGCTGCTGTTAGTAAAGAAAATGGTTATCAGCTCTTTGGGGTTGGCAGAGCAGGGATATAGAGAATTGCAGTACCAGTTGGTTGTACTGACCGTGCACTCAACATGAGGAAGGGAGTAACAGCATTTGCTTGTTATTTTTTTAAGACAGTTTCCGTATGATGGCAAATGCAAAAGCACAATTGAGTGTATGAATTCAAAATTGTGATAGTTTTCTTTGTGGTTATAATAGCTGCTATCTAACATCTCTTTCAACTTCTCTGCACCGAAGGCCTAAAAGTTAAGGCATGATCTTGTAGTCTGGTGTTATGTTTATGTATGAGGCTGTTGCACGCAGTATTTACAGTGCGTGCAGACAAGCATGGCTGTTGGCATGTAAATGCATGAGTTCTTTTAATAAAAGTAAGGCTTCTTTATGCTAAAACTGCATACTTGCTTTCTGCAGGGCTAGTGTTTCTTAATAGCATATAAACGCTGTTGTCCTACACAGCAAATGTCTGTTCAGCATTCAGGTATCAGTTTTTGTGAAATTTGTTGCCCGTGTTAATGCTGCTCATGTGTAATTTAAAACTTAGTCAAAGTGGGAAAGAGCTCCTCACTTGTTTGTCAGATAGGTGCATCAGGTTTTGAATTAGTCCTTGGCTCTGATCATCCTGGGTTATTTTAGTTCCTTGCCTGTGGTTATGGTAACAGCTTCAAATGCCCAAAACTATTTTGGGCAAACATTTTCAATAATAGTGATCACAAGCAGCAGTTATTCCCCAGTGTTTTCATCCCCAAAATAAACTTAACAATGTAGGTTTCACCATTATGAAAAACCTATCAGTGTTACTAAATGTTACTAAAACGTTTAAATTTATAGAAATTCTGTTCCTGGTTCTGTTCTTTATTGCTGAGTAGAGTGTCAGGGTGTTGGCTTTTTTTGTGATAAGATTAAGCTGTCCTGATGAACAGAAAAATTGTCATGCAGTACAAAGACTTCTGAATTCTCTAGATTAAGCATCTTAAGTGTTGATTTGGTCTACTGTGGCAGTACATTAAAAGTCTTTTTTTAAAAATTTCCTAAGGGAGTCAATATAGTTGAAGCTCTACCTTCTTTTCTGTAGGAACCTGCTGTGCTTATGCACAATATGCTTTTAAATTCTCCTTTCCCTTTTTAATAGCTTGCCTTCTATGCTCCCCACTGTCATCAGCCCCAGGAGGTCACCAAGCAGAGCACAGAGTTGCAGAGTGGTCCCTGACGGACACCTGCGTGACCGTCTGCTTCGTCAGTTCTTCAGGCAATTTGTGAGCTGCTGGGGGGGGCGTTGAGAATTAGATTGTTGATAGCGTCCCTACAAAGACTGCTATTAACAGCGTGCTACTCTCTGCTTCTCTACTGCAGAAGACAGAGTGATATTTGTGTTCCCATAGCATGTTGTAAAATGCATGAGATTTTGCTCATCCTCCCTGGAAATGAGAATAGGAAAATGAGAGCATCCTGAACCAGAAGCTATTAGAAGAGCATGCAGAAACCTGCAGTGATTTGTGCTTTATTTTGTTTTCCTAGCTATGGATTAGAAGGACTGATTTTTGCAATGGGCTTTTTCCATAATGGCATTCTTGTATTGTTTGGTCAGAGCTTGCACAGGAAGAAAACAGGCTGCTGAATTTAGTCACTGATCTTTATTAGCCGTGGCCTAAGGCTATGCTGAGATTTATATCCCATTTGTATTGTTGCAGCTCAAAAGAAGAATGTTCAGAGGATGACAAGTGTATTCTGAGTAGGTATGTTGTTTCACTTTCATATGAAACCCATTTTTTTCTGCTTCCATTGGTCAGAAATGAGGTTAATAGGAAGAGAATATAGTACAGTGCTGCAGTGTCCCTGTTAAGGTAGAACAATAGCATCAGAAACAGTTCTTTAAAAATTAGCTGCTTTTATTAAATAAAGCTGCATTGTGCTGGTGTGCACAGTGCAGTCTCTCTTTTTTTTTTTTTTAAAACATATACTGCAGTCAGCGCTTCCCTAACGAGGTGGCACTATTGTTGAGTTAGAAGGATAGAATCATCATATTGCTTTAGGGGACAGCAGGATTTAAAAGGAGATGCCTTGCAGCCCTGTTTTACAGATTGGAAGCATCGGTTTAAGGGCATTGGCAGAATCATTTCCTCGTTCTTAGCAGCAGCCACTGCTGTGTCAGTAGTGTGTGGAATGGAAGTCCTAGTTGGTAGTCTGTTATGGAAACGCTGTTTACTGTTATTGTAGTACCGTGGTGACAACATGCCATTGAAATGGAAAACGAGCTCTCCTGCTATCTGGAAATTCCCAGTTCCTGTGCTTAAAACATCCAGGTCATCGCCACTTTCTCCAGCATACATGTAAGTGAGAGAAATGAGGATAATAAGGTGGGATTGCTTTTGTGAGACTACCCTGTGGCAAAATACCCTGTTATATATGAAATGACATTGGCACTCAGAATTTTACCTTGTTTTCTATGTAGACCCCCCAGATTTTATCCTGGATGTTTCATGATGGATGTTGTGTCGAGTCTTTCCCTCTTTGTTGAAATGTAGAGAAATTGTGCAGAATAAGCCATGTTCGTATTAATACTGTATATGTTCTTTTGAAAAGTTCGTGTTACTGTTAATTTGTAGAGATGATCTTGAATTGACAAATTAAGCTTTGAGACAGGTTTTCTTTTTAATGTATATGCTAACATTTCCACCCCCTGACTATTACACTTTGAAATTAAATATGAAATCACCTGCTGTATTGTACTGCACTTCTGTTCGTGTAACTTCTCATATAAGAAATCATCCTGCTTTGGTCTTGGTTTATTCTTAAGTCTTAGCCTTAACACAGATTGAATGTCTTTTTACAAAGTTACAGTAAGAGCTTAAAACATAAATATAAATTGTTCATATCTGAATACTTATACAGTTACGCAATTTGTCCATGTGAAGTAGCTTCACATAAAAGAGTATTTTAATACACATGGAAATAACATGCCTTTGTCTTGCCAAATCTTGATGGAGCTTTTGTTCACCTTTTGTTGCTGTGAGTTCTGTGTTAGCATATACAGGTGGCTTTTTTCCTTCTGTGAAATAAAACTGAGCATAGGGTACTGAATTGCTTCTGCCTTTATTTAAGGAAGCAGCTCCTTCAAAATGAGTAAGAGTTGCTTTAAAATGCCCAAGTACCAATGTAGATGATTTCCCTATCTGAAAATTACTCTAAAGACTATTACTTTACAGTAGTATTCCAGCCTAATACCTACAATATTAGTACTTTTAAGCTTGTATTGTTTTCTTGCAGATAGGTTTTTGCTTTGGCTACTGTAGGGAGGATATGCTGTAACAAATAGGTATTTACAGGTCCTCTAAACATCGTATTTTTTGGTTGTTGCTGAAATTGCCTTGAGAAGCAGTGGAGCTGAAACAATACAACACTGTATGCATGGTCACTATTGTTCTCAGTCAGAAAGGCTGGGGTTTAAGGAGCTAACCTGGCTGTGTAGAACCAATGCTGTGCATGTTCCAATTTAAGGTTAATTTTCATGGAAGTGGTTCATCTTTTTCACTCACTCGATGCATCAAATGTGCTTAAGGTTACCAGAAGATAAGCTATTTCCAATAAATTGCTACTTATTCTGAGTTTTTAAAAAACATGACTAAATACAAAGATGAAAAAAAAGAGTTGTGAGGCTTTTGAACCTATTTCAGGGAAACTGTCCTTAGCGTTCTATGTTATGCTTTTGTTTTTTAAACTGTAGTACTTACTAAATGCAAGAAAAATCAGAAGCAGTCTAGTCTGATCTATCAGCTGCTGAAACTGAGCATTTCTCTTGTATGTTGCTTTTAAATTGCTAATCTAGCTCTGTGTATGCTCTGGCTTTTATGATGGAGATCATGTAGGTGATTATCTCACTGTGTTGAATGTATGTGAACAGGTTTAGTGATCATGCTTAACTATGTGATGCTAACCTTATCTAGAGCATGAGAAATATGTGATCAGCAGCCTTAATCATCTTTTTATGAGTCAGTGTGTCCCGGTGTTTATGGAGATGTTTCTTCACTGGCACACAGTCCTGACATTAGCAGGACTCTTAAATGTAAGGTTAAATTATTCATATACTTTATAATAAAAAATGAGAAACATGACAAAATGGCACCTATTTGATTAGGCAGTGTATATTAACTGATAAAACCAACCTTGTAATTTAGGTTGACCAATAAAATAAGTGATGGTATTCCTTATCTTCATTGCAGAGATTACAGTAAATTTGCTGATGTGTTACAATCTGATATTTTTCACATTCATATTTATAAGTTTTCTTTCATAAGTAGTACTCTGCACAGTGGCAAAAAGCTTATGTTTTGAGTAAAAGATTCAGTAATAAGTGGCATGTGAAATGGAACATATATTGATGTAAAATAAATGACCATAAAACTTTGATTCACAGATGAACACTTCTGTAGCTGTTATTTTGAATCTAGACTATACAAGGGTGTAATTGAGCTTTTAATCCCTTTAATACTTGACATATTAATCTTACAAAATAGGTTTGTAGTATAATTTGTAATGTAGAGAGGTCTTAAAGGTGAATGGGGTTTTTTGTACTTGAAATTCCAGTTTTTCAGGTAAAGTTGACCTTAACTTTAAAAGCTTCATCCTGCTTATGATTCAGAAGCAACTTATCCAGAGATTAAACTGATTGTCAGGACACACAGATTTTATTAATAGGGTTTTTTTTGTCTGTCTACCCAATACCTGAAGTCTGCTTTGTTTCCTTGTATTAGAATGCCGAGACTGGTGATTACGAGCATGTTTGCTTCTTGAATGAAGCGGGCATCAACATACGAAGTACCACTGTAAAACAATTTACTGCAGGCTGCTCAGCTGGGGCGGTTTAGTCCTTGAAAAGTTTGTGGCAGTTCCCAAGGTCCAAGGGAATGAGTATAAAGAGCTTGTCCCAGAGCATTCTCTGCTGTGAGAAACTTGTGGCTGGTTAAAATAGGAAGTAAAGGACTGGCTGAACTTGAGCTGATGACTTTGTAGGTGAGGGTGTGGTTCTGTTACAGCTGGTTTTGCTGGGTGTGGTACCACTTTCCTGTCAATGGGAACGAGCAGCAGTGAATTGCTGCCTCTTAGCTAGTGGTTTTGTTTACCACCAGTTATTTTTTAGGGATATTTTCAGGATATCCCATCTGCAAGAGGTAATTTTTCATGTTACACGGAAGGTGAAGGGTCCCTCTGAAGGGGAGTGCAGACATCCTCTGGCTTCTGGTGGAACTGGTCGGTGGAGAGGTTCAGTGACATTGCACAGGGAAAATTAGATAGTGTTAGAATTGGAGCACTGATGTGTGATCAATATATGTAGGTGTAACACAGCCTGGCTTAGTGCAGGAGTTAGGAATGTGCAAGTATGTGTGCATGCACATGCCTTTGTCAAGCTGCTTTTACATTTTCTTTCATGAAAACTTATGGTGTTGGGTTTAGAATATGAATTCCTTTTGTCAAAATGAGTATGAAAGCTGTTACAGCAAGTTTATGCTCCACTAGTGAAATCATATCAATATTTGCGATTATGTTGACTGTGGGGACAGACCTGGGTGATTTAATACATTATGTGGGCAGGTGAGCAGTTTCAGCAAGTGCATCAGAGGAGAGGACAAAATGAATAATACTGCCTTGGAAAAGTGGTATTCTTTGGCATCGTAGCTATTGATGGCCACATGATAAAAACAAAAAAAAACCCCAGTGACTAACATAAGCAGAAGAATTGAAGCACTGCTTCAGAGAGAGTGAGGAACAGTTCAGAATTTGGTTGTACAGAACAGCTTTGAAGTGTAAAGGAATATACATCTCAATGATTGTTCATGGGTCACATCTCATACATTAAGAACTAAGAGGAGAATTCTTTCTTATTCACACTAGCAACGTCATTCATATTTTTTCCAAAGTTGTGCATGTCTTCCGTTAACATGAACAGATGAAATGTTTGTGGAAACTCTGGAGATTGAAGTACTATGGTGGACATCTACAAAGTATTCAATAATGGAAAAATACTATTTTCAAAAATACTATGATAAAGGATTATTCTATAAGCCTATGTCATGTGAGAGTGAGTTAGCTGTTTCTGTAAAGCTAAATGTGCAATTAAATGTGTTTAGTCTCCAACATGTCATGGTTAAAAAGAACAAAATTTAAAAAATTCTTAATGCAGAATAATCTGCTTGTAAAGTTAGTGCCTTCTATCCTTTTACATGGAATAGTGTGTTGATACTTTAAATGAAACTATCCTTTTCATGTGTGTTCATAAATAACTAAGGAGAAATAAACGAATGTGATATTCCAAATGTATTGCTATCAAAGGGTTTGCAACACACTCTGTATATCCTGACTCGTGTAGTTGTGAAATTTTTCTGATGAGAAATGCTTTGTGGTAATGGAAATGGAGAAGAGTAGAATAAATTCTTAATACTCTGGAGTAATCAGCATTAGTTTTAGCTGCTTATATAGGCTATATAGTTAATGCTTTTGTGTCTTATTTAAGATCTCTGATTTGCTCTACAATGAGCTCTTTGAATTTATGCTATACAGCGATATATACTTAAATGAGAAAAGGTGTGTATGCTTAATTCATCACACCATCTGTATTAGTTCTCTTTTGTGAGACCACCCTGTATGTGTCTACTGTCTCTATTGGCCATTTCTAGTTAATAAAGACTTTTGTTGGGCTCTTGAGCGTTTGACAGACTGCAGGGTATTCACACCAAAACAGACTTGCCTGTCTTTGGCAACATTTCCATTTTAATTACTTCCTAGATATTTCCAGTTTCAACATGTTGAAAATTAACGTGCAGGTCACCCCCAAAGTAATCTGACCATCCATGCAAACAGATGAATTGAGTGGGTGGGGAATAGAAGGGGTTTATGTATTATAAATAGAAGACTGCTTTTAATCCCTGCAATTTTGTATGTGGAGTTCTCACTTGGTGTTGTTGATTTTACTTTTGCTTTTAAAATAATAGGCACTTCAGTAGCTTGTTCTGTTTAAATTGTGACATTTCATTGCAGTAATAAACTGGCAAAAACGAGGAAAAAAATCGAAACCTGGCTGTCATGAAGTTTCTCAGTGCTAGTGTTTTTTCTAGGCAACCCTTTATAGGTGATGCTGTGGTTTACAGGTCCTCAAAATTACATTCTCCTCCTTATGTAGCATGATATTGCAGTATTGACATTATGCTGTGACATGCTAAAGCATCTTTATTGAATTGTCTTGAATATGTTACTCAGCCTATTCTGTCAGAATGTCAGTTCTGCCAGTTTGTCATTTTTGCCATTATTTCCTTGTTATTGTGGAAAATTCTTGTTG